TGTAAACAAAACACACTGCTCTCTCTCTCTCTCTCTCTCTCTCTCTCTCTCTCTCTCTCTCTCTCTCTCTCTCTCTCTCTCTCTCTACCGAGAACTTGAAGAAAAAAATGGGCACTGGAGCATGGGAAGAGACCAGCTAGGGTGTGGAGAAGAAAAGGCTAACGGTATCTCGCACCTATGGCAAATGAACAGTTGCATCCAGCAGTTGTTGTGCATCAAGGTGCGTAGAAGATGTTATTTCAGGAAACTTTTGGTCCCTCCCTGGTCCTCAAGCATCTGTGCAATTGCTGTTGACCATCATACTATACCCAAGCAAGAGACGTCACGAGCGTCACTCCAGTAATGAATTCTCATTATTAACTTCAATTAAGGATATTTTTGGGGAGTGACAGATACCTTTGTGGATGGAAAGGAACAGCTCTGAAGTCTGAGCTACAGATACAGCATCATACGCGTCGATCAACATAGCGTTGCATCTGTGAAAATGTTCGGCACCGTCGAGGAGAAGGCCCTCACCTCTGCACTTACACAGCCAGCAGGGTGTTTAACACAGCGGCGCAGAATGCTCAAAACACACTGGGAGAGTATCAGCGACAGCGCCCATCAATCACCACACAGCAAAGTGCTTTCAAGACCATAACAGCAAAAGATTCGACACCATGGCGGAAGAAAGCGGCACAGCAACAACATCCACAACAACGCCCGAAGCCAGATATTAATGCTTGACCTGTGATTTGCCACGACGCTCAGCAATCAATCGAGCGGCTGGTTACAGAATGCTGGAGTGTCATTCATTGAGGTAGGCAGGCCAGCACCTCCTATTGCAGTTCACCGCAGGAGAGGTAGAATTCTCCATGGATGGCCGTGACAACACCACCCAGCGCAGCTCGCCGCAGCAGCCAGGGAGGTCGATGACGCGCACTTCCGCATCCTTATCACAACGCGGACTAATAACATTCATCCATTTCACATGCACAGCTGCTCAGCCAAACAAAACTGAAGCAGTGCAGAGCCATTGGACCATTGAGCTGCCTCGATTCTCCTCTTCCTCAGACGACACAGCCATCCAAACTAGGCACGAAGCAAAATTCAGAGTCTCCGGAGCTTTGCGCCTCCCCTCCAACTCTTCATCATCTTCCTCAGGCAGCACATCCATCCACCATTGCAGGTCGTGCACATCGACGTTGAAGTCGCCACTGACTGATTGATCATCAATTTTCACCAACGGCGTTCGCAGCAGCTCGCCACAAGCTGCTGTCATGTAGGCAGAGCTGTATACGAACAACGCCATCGGCCAACCGAAGGAAGACATCAGACTGCATCATCCCGCTAAGACGACATCATGGAAAACATTCGAACTTCTGGAATTTCTACCAGAGGACAGTTCAACTGTTTGCAACAATTCCACACTGGACAGGTGTGAAATAGCCAGAAGACTCTGATGATGAACAGGTGTGAAACCATAACGACTACGTGATAACAAGAACGCTCGTAAGATTTGTACACAACTTTTGGGGCTGAAAGTTTCTTTGACGCCTCCATCGATGTGGGTTTCTGCAGAGCACGAGGTCTGATTTCTGCAGTGTTGCAAAAGAAAAAAGATTCCAAAGCCATAACAGAGAGAGAGAGAGAGAGAGAGAGAGAGAGAGAGAGAGAGAGAGAGAGAGAGAGAGAGAGAGAGAGAGAGAGAGAGA